AATCATAAACAATCTTTAATAACACTTTAATTATAAATATACTCTGATTTCTTTGTTATATCGGTAAAACAGCGCGTTCACTTGGAATCGCGTGGGCGAAATTATAAAACGGATGTCTCCTGGTCTATACAATATCAACCCCCTACCACTTAAGATGCTTAAAGCGATTTTACTACAAATATATGTATAGAGATATTACTAACAGAAATTCAACTCATGTCACGGTATCACGACTTGGTACTTTAGATTTTTATAGATAAAATATTATACACTATAGGTAGTAGTATATTTAGTTTTTTTTAATTTAATTCCTCTACCAACTTAATAGCCTATTCCCTAAGGAAAATAATATATCCTATCTATTTAAATAATTGAAATTTCAGAATATTCAAATTTTATTGTACCTAGACGTCTCGAAGCATCGTAAAGGAAATTTTAATATAATGTCGAGGATCTATGCAGATAAAGTACTATGGACCAGGTGCTTCTTGTTTAAAACAATTGTGAGAAACACATAAACTTTATTTGTTTTTTATGTGAACAATAAATAAATCCAATTTCATGTCAAATATACAAAATACGTAACTAATTAATACAAAATTATGAAAGTAAAACTAAAGTATCAATACTGAAAAAGATTCATTGAAAGTAAGCTTAAAATTTTTACTTGTTTCTATAAATTAAATATGCAACATATTCGATGAGTGATAATTTCTACGCCATTGAATTATTAAAATCTTCGTGTTTTTTTTTCATAATGCCTATCGGAAAATCGAAACTTTAAGTTTAAAATGTTATTAATTTTTCGAATGCTTATACAATACACATTTAATAAATAGGTACTTCCATTTATGACTAGCAACTTCCTCTTGCTACGACCATGTGCATTCCTAGGTGCTTGGTAAAGTAACTCAACGGCCATTTTTTTCGAATTCAATTAAAATTATTATGTTTTTTGACAGTAAACACATTTTTATCGCAATAAAAATAGCTTAGCACTCGACTATACGGACTATTAGTAAAAGAATGTTCAGAAACGGATCAGCAGTTTCAGAGATTATCTCCTACATACAAACGTACAAAAAATTACCTCTTTATAATATCAGTGTAAAATACTACACAGATAGGTACTACAGATATAGAATTTACCAATAACAAAAAATATAAGACAATTGATTTAATGCTTTGAAAATGTAAAAGCATAGATTTATCAAGTATTGTCGACCCATAAATGTGTCAAGCGACCGGAAGCTGAGTTAATAAATAGGCAATTTCGAAATCCAGTTCCTCTCTTTTTTGGGAAAAATGACGAATTTATTTATGCAATAATTTCTCACTAAATCTCTTATCCCGTAAAATAAGATACTAACCGACTACTATGAAAATAACTCAAATATACATAGGACTTGGTTGAGGTTATGGATGCTATGCTTAACAAATAAAAAGGGACCAAAAATAGTACATCCGTACATCCTTCATCCTCCATCTTTAAAGGCGATCTAAAAAAATACATAATACAATGTCAGTCCTCTGGATGTTCTTATTAATTAGGTACGAAGAAATAACGTCAATAGTAGCATCCCGTCTACCATAATAATTAAGGATAAATAAATCTGTTGATAGTGTAGAGTTTATACTATCAAAGGCTTTAGAAAAATTGCAAAAAAATACAACGTAAATAACCAGCATCACTATTATAAAAATACTTATATTATTCGCTATGAGTAGTATTGTTACTAATAATACTATATTTTACCAATACCAGAGATGGATCTGTAATTTACAGATCACTTAATTCATAGAGACAATATAAATATCTCGCTCTTTATTTTCTACACTGCCTATATAGAGATGTTTTGTGTTTGATAGATAGTCCAATATAATCAGATGGTTATATGAGAACCAAAACATGTTTCTGTAAAGTAAATATTTTTTTCAATCATGAATAGAACAGAGCATAGTAAAAATACAATCAGAGTTCAGATAAACGGTAAAATGCGTCACACAAGTCATTGCCAGTAACAGACTAAGTGTAATTTAATATTTTTTCTTAAATCTGAAGGAGAATAAAAACAAAACCTTTTACACCACATTAAGCAACTAAGTAGCGTAGCAAATCTATTTATTCGTATATTTTGTTTAGTATCACTGTCAAAGTAAAAGTCTATTTGCGAAGTTATCTATGTTCTTAAAAGTTAGACATTTAAAATGATCAGCACAATATTATTATACCTAAATGCGAAAGTTTATGAGTGAGTGCATGGTAAGACGTAATAACTTCTTCACACTTTAACGGCTCAACATAGAGTAAAATTCGGTATGGCATTCAGATATCTCATAGCTTGAAAGAACACATAGATTATTGTTTATGGACGTAACTATGACTTAGAATTTACCGCGATTCGATCCGCTTTGAACTGAGGAATGAAAAAGTTTGTAAGTGGATGAGTGATTGTCCTTAATGATGATCATGATTTAACCAGTAACTATTACATAAAATTAAGTGCATATTAAAACAGGTAATTATACAATAATTAATAATTGTATAATAAAAAGCTATTAAGTCAATAGATAAAAGATATTTAGTAGCGAAATTACCCACATAATTATTTCAGTATAATTAATTAGTGCTTTCTAATGTATAAATTAGGTATTTTAACTAAAATGCGTAATAGTATGTCCGTTATATCTAATATTTAATAAGAGCTTACTTGTTATATGGCATTACAAGTAACGAGTTAAAACGAATATAATTTTTACTATAAAGGTCTATTAAAATTATGATAATATAGTCAGCCCTGGAGTCAACCAGTTGCCTCATGGAAGCGCGGTAAGATCTCTGGTAAAATAGATTTATTCGTCTTCTGGACCTAATGTCTCTACTGTAAAGCAAACAAAAACGTAATTTTCCAAGAATTCTGAATATTTACGTAATATTCTGTATCAAGTATTCGCATGATACCTTATTATGGCCACGGTAATGTTATATGTAATATTACCGTATTATGGCTCCGCTCGTGTGGTAGTTATATCGATAAAAAGTAAACTATGTGCTTACAAAGACATGAGCCATCACTATTCTGTATTTCACTTATATCCATTGAGACATGACATAGAATTAACAAACACACCCACAAACATTTCAATTTGATAATTAATATAAATGTGTTAGAACTACACGCTATAACAAAATTATAACGAAATCAATATTGTATATTAAACACAATTCATACATAGAAATTGTTCCTTTAAGGAACAAACAGCTCATCTCATATTCAATTAGTCCAGCAGATCCAAAGAAACAACTTATTTTCATCCACACATACTCGTATTATAATAAAATTGTAACCAAGCCGAATCTGTACATTGAATATTTTTTTTGGAAAATCTTGTTGAAATAGACATTGTTATCGATACAGAAGCCGAATCTATATACTTTTTACCGCGCAAAAATATCTCATTTCTGTGAAAAAATACAAAAACTGCATCACTGCATAAGAGTATACTAATATGTAAAACCTAAGAATTTGGTTTTTGGTCAACTGAACGCGGGCGGAGCCGCGGGTAACGCTAGTCTTATTATACATATAAAGATCATCATCATCAACTATAATCAGATTACTATTATAAACGAGTAAGTTTATTTGTGTGCGTGTATGTGTATATGTTTGTTATTCCTTCATATTAAAACTGGGCAAACGGAACTATAGACGAAATTTAGTACACATATAAACAATAGACATATAGACTAGAATCCTAGAATAACAGATAGTCAACTAGGGACGCACCCTAGTTAAACGAGGTAGCAAAAGTCGCTAGTTGTTAAATAAATAGAAAACACAAGACAGGTACAATAAAGAGAAATTACAATTTTCTGCTCAACGTAAATAACGTAAAATCTATAGATATGAAGAAATAAACAAAGCATTTTATTTACTTGAATTATCTGTATCGAGGCAGTAAGAGAACTGTCAGAAGTGGCAAAACAAGACATTATTTAGCTTGCATTCATATATATCACAGCCGCATCTCACCTCAATGCGTAGATTTACGACATGAGTTCAGAAGAACAACTCCTAACAAGTTACGAAGTGTTTTTGTTACACCTCTAATGTGTCTCGGATTTTTGGAACTACGATAAGTTTCTTCTTACAAAGGAAACACGAATCCTTAGTACTTATCCTTCAACGTCTGGTACCTAGAGTTGAACTACTTATAATTTAGTTGTCTATTTTCCTTTTTCTTATACCTATTAACTTTATTAGCAATGTTCAGATGAAATCTATATGGAGATCCATATAGATTTTTGTCCTGCTCTGATTACAGCTGACAGCGGCATTGGAAAAAACTGCTCAGTGCTCAGCAAGCACTTTCCAAAAATGGCTCCACTGCAAAAAAGGAGTACGCCATCACGATATTCTCTGTTAAGTTAATAAGGCAATGGAAATAGGTTAGTTTAATTAGGTTTAGTGTTTAAATTCCAAGTCAATATTTTTTATTACAAAACTTATTATATAGAGTTCTTAATTGGTAATATTTATGCACGGTAAATTCTTAAAATATACTACACTAGCGATTCACTCTCGCTTCGCTCGAGTTCGTCCCTAGGTACGTTTTAACGGTTAGTATAGATTTCTCAGAGATGATATATTTTCCCTTAGTAAAAGGTATCCTATATGTTGACCCAAATGCCCAGCTATTATCATACCAAATTTCATTAAAATCTGTTCAGTGGTTTTCTCGTGATGCGTTCCCAGACAGAGAGATAGACTGTCAAATTTTCTAAAAACTATAGATTTGACCTCTGTATCGATAATAATGACTATTTCAGTAAGATTTTTCAAAAAATATTTAATGTACAGATTCGGCTGAGTTAGAATATCATTATAGGTACGTATAGATAAAACAATGTTATTATTTATCTAATATTGTTACTGGAAAATATAAACATTTTTAAAATGTCCATAATTTCTTTGAACGTTTAAACATTTGCATTTTGCATGCATATGTGGTCATGCAGAACAGTCATTGTAAAGCCCAGCTTGGAAATCAGGTATTTCTCTTTCAATATCTGTAAACTACAATTTCTTTATGATAAGGTTTAAAATCGACTAAAATAATAAGGAATAAAGTTTGTTTTACCTAAAAATAAACCTTATTTTGTAAGTAATAGAACACATAACACATTACCGGATGACTTATGAATGAATGGCATTGGACAGTGAGTCATCCGTCCCGCTTACTCTTCGCGTAGAATGCGTATGCGCAGTACTGGCGGCACTGTCACGCAGTATGTTTTGACTTTTGTGTCGACAGTATCAGTGTAAAATAAACCACCGATGACGATGCACGTGTGGACGTACAGAAATTTGGCGCGAAAATATTAAATTAAAAGTGAATATTAACTGTAACTGTGATGACTGAAACATTAAAGTATACACTAAGAATAATTGTTGTGACAACGTTATACTACGTTTTGATAAGTGTGTTTAAAGAAATCAAAGGATATTTGAGCCAATTGACAACGTAAACATTGGATTGTTTTATTCCATTTCATATTTGGTAAGACATTTTCATAACTTCACCCGTACAATATAATCTTAGGTGTTGTAATATTTTTAATTTTATACATTACTTTCTATGCTATCTGTATTTAGAAGCGATTTAAATGTAATATGAGTAAAGAGAACAAAATTTCTTTTGATTAGTAATGATTTTGTTAATATAACGTGAAAAGTAAATTATTTATTTAAATCCTTCTATTCTTAAATTATGGAGGTAGAAACAATACATAGAGCTTGTAACTTCGAATCTTGAAGCTTTAGCTAGATGTCATTCTAAAATCATTGAAGAGTAAAAATTTTAAAAATGTATGAGAATGATATTTTTTATACTGTAACAGCGACTTTTTCTATTTCAATAAGAATTTTTATATTTCAACAATTTAAAAATTTATTTCTATTACTTTTCCACAACTGTAGAATAATATCTTGTATAGGATCCCTTAGTTAGATCTATTTTAAAGTATGTATTATATTCTTAACTATTTTGAAATACTATGAACACATGTGTCTAATATACAACGTTATGGTATGTACAAGCGGAACAATTACTTAAGATCGTTGGGATATTCACGGACTTAGAACTACCTGCGAATGTTTTTTGTCCAAAAATAGCGAATAGGGGCCGTTAGCAGTAGTACACGTTAAAAAGTGAAAAAATAAATAAAAATATTATTTAGAAAAGTTATATTCAACAAATTGTTCTCATAATTTCTTTTTAACTTTGTAGGTTTTTCTAATTAGCATAAATTAAAAATTATTAATTGAAATTATCATCGAATTTCTGAACACATTTAAAATATTGTGAATCAACTTACGTAATTTATTTGAACGATTCTATACTTAGGAAATGACAAACCATCAGATTTCTTCACGATTATAAAACAAGTATATCAACATTAAAGTGTCTTTCCCATTCTACGTGATATTGACGACGTAATCCGTGCTCAACTGACACGTTTTAAAGACACTAACAAAAAATAGAATTTAATCTTTGCCATTATAATTAAAATACATATTTATTTATTATATTATTAAGAAGACTAAAATTCAAATATTCCTAAAATTGCTATTTAGAAAAAGTAAATTCTCCTTTATACTTCATGTAGTATAGAATATACTCAAGTCTTATAATAAAAAAGATATTATGAGTCTATAGTACAATAATAACTCACTGTTATAGGAGTTGTTTATGGAGTGTAGTTAAAAACCGCGGTCGCGGTAGATCTAATGACTTACGGAAGTCCGGTGCTAGGTAGAAAATAATGATTCATAAAGCTCTAACTCATTTTTTATGATAACCTTTGATTATTATAAGAAATAGTTTATAGCATACCTACACTTACTTCATAATCTCGCATATGAATGAGTAATATATAAATGTGAGCTTAAAAGCTTTAAAGCTATAAGCTATATTGTAATATATAATGCAGGCACTTACATTGTCTTAGCTTCTGATTTTTATAAGTAAATCAACTAATTCAGTTGTCTTAGAAGTTATATCCATCATATAAGCGATCAAAAATAGTTTTTATATCTTTATAATTTATTGTAGTTAACATTTCCTTTTTAAATGTCTCCAATCTCACCCATCTGATTTTATAATTTCTATAGCTAATAGAAAGCTAATAAAATTTTAATAAATGGCATATTATATAAACCTTGTCACTTGGTCAGATTATGTCATTTCCTTACAATTTTAGTTCTGTCAGCGGTATCGGTAAACTAACGTTGGGTAGAAAAGTGACCCTGTTATGGTCAAAACAGCCCACATAATTAATTACTCTAAGTATCCAATTTTAGCGGCTCTAAGCCTTATAATGGCCAAGGCATAGTTATGATTAAATAGAAATATATCAGCTATTAATTTACTAATTATATTATAAAAGTTATTTTAGACATAACGTCTAAGTGATTGTACTTTGTGGTCGTATTACAAATTAACTTGGTTACTTACATGTTAAGAACATAATAATTGTCAAGTGAATTGGTAAATGCCCATTAATTAAATACTAATTAACAAATTTTCATAATTAAACAATTACGACGTAAATCACGCAATGTTATTATATTACACGGAAACCAATTTCATATACATAATATATATACAACTGCAAATAGTTGCACGCATTCAGTGTGATATCAACTTCACTTCATTCACCCTTTATCTAATAAATATAGGCAATAATTATTAGATTTAAAACGATCAAGCTGTAGTTATAATTTATTTATTTTTATACTACTGTTTGCATTATCTTGACAGTAAATATTAGTACCTATGTAATTACATCAATATAGCTTATACTTTTGTATTTAATTTTGGTTATCATTTAAATGACATCATAACCACTTGAACAATTATACGCCACACTTCGAACTGATATACATTGTTAGTTAACCACTGTAAACAGATTTACACTCAAATGCCGCAGTGCCGATAGTGTGCAATTACAAATTTCAGTGTAAACCCAAGACAGATATATATTCGCAAAAACACAGGACATTTTACATCAATGTCCCGACAAATAGACCCGAACTATGCGAGTCGATTACATATGTCACTCGGGTACTCCGGGTGTCACAGTCCACAGAGACCTAATAAGCGAACAGGTTAAACAATGAGCGTACCCATCGTTGTCATTGTATAGTGTAGAGAGAAGATGTACAAAAAGGGATTTCACTTTTTTTGTGTAGCATAACCCATCCAGCTATGTTAGCCAACTATACCTCATGGTTATGGGTGCAAGATGTACATTAAATAAATAATAATAATAATAAACATTTTGGGACAGGATATTATTTTAAAAATCTTTTTGAACATTAGGTACTAATTTATCTGTAGTTGACATTAATGTGTAATTTTGAAGGGATGAGATATGTAGTCTGTTTCGCGGAAATCTTTGAACGCGGGATGCTACGTTATTATATTACGATATTCACTGAGAATTCTAATTTTAATTAAGCGTCATCCATTATGTCTGTTTCCTGTTATGTCGGTCACTCTATCAAGAAATACAAGAGAAATAATGTCTCACATGCGTTTTATAAACACTCTAGCATTGCCCGCGGCTCCGCCCGCGTTCAGATGACCAAATTCTTAGGTTTTACATATTAGTATACTCTTACTATAGAGATATTTTTCCCTGATAAAAAGTGTCCTATATCTATATGACAGACAGAGATTTTTTTTAAAACTATAGATTCTGCCTCTGTATCGATAATATTGTTTATTTCAATAAGATTTTCCAAAAAATATTTAATGTACAGATTCGGCTTAGTTACAATTTTATTATAGGTATGTATAGATAGATAAATATAAAAAGACACTTGAATCGGCAAAAAAATATTTATAAGTACGGTTTTTAAAAAAGGGAGAGAATTTTTTTATTATCGTTTCTGTATGTATATAAGTAGATATTTTATCGTTTCTGTGTTTATTTATTTATCCATAATATATAATTTAACTGATTATGGCCAGATTTTTTGATGTCTGATTCCTTCCTTTGTCATCTTTTTCGTCTTATTACAGTTAAATTGGATGGTGGACGACTATCTTTTACTTTTTTGTACCGATAAAATATTATTATCGAATACGTATTTTCGAGTCTTCATAATACAAAAATACTAATACTCTATACTTGTAGTAGAAGATATTCATTAAATTAAATAAGTTAATAGCAAAAACTGTCGCAACTTACCTGATTTACAAAATCAAGTCTCCCTTCAGTCAAGCATTCCATAAGAGATGAATCGGAAATTAATCTAAGCTTAAACAATCTGCAATGCAACTGAAGAAGTTATACTTCAGAAAAACACAATAAATGAAATATCTCATTTAGCATTAAATTTTGTAAATTTTCTTGGAAAATATTTACTTAACTCGTTTATTGCTTATGCTATATTTTTACCTTATTTTAATTTAGAAATGGGGTTAGCTAAAGGTAAGGTTTTTTAAATAGCATTTAAACTCCGTTAAAAGACTTAACCATTTAAAAAAAACTTTATAAAAAACTTCATAGAGTTGTTTCTTGTTGTTTTTGATTACTGATAGCAGTAACAACCGATTGCAACATCAAAAGGTTTCTAGTGAAAATTATTTTTCAAAGAAATTGATGTATTTCAAATGTAATTCGCAGCTGATATATACAAAGTTCATACAAGTTATGACAAAACAATCACAATATAATTATAATTATTATTTATTAGTAGTATCCACAATCGATTCTAAGTAAAACAAACGCTTTATATACGACGTGTAAATATATTGTGACGATTCATTTGACTAACTTTACGAGTATGTTCCATCTTTAGCTTTCTGTAGTACATATTTTATTTACTCGTCACCACAGAGTTTTTTCTACTTAAATATATTTATTCAATCAATCCGTATTAATATTATAAATGTGAAAGTTTGTGAGTATGTATGGATGTTTATTACTCTTTCACGCCAGAACGGCTGAACGGATCTTGATGAAATTTGGCACAGAGATAGATTATAGTTTGAAATAACACATAGGCTATTCCAGACTATAATCTATCTTAAAAGATAGATTATAGTCTGGGATAAATCCCGGAAAAATGTACGGTTCCCGTGGGATAGGTTTGTTTTTGTTTTCCTACCGCCACTAGTATATTAATATTCTTCAAAAATATCCTTATATTATCTTAATTATAAGTGTATATTATGAGTATGTACTTATATAATTTTTAGCGTAGATTTTAGTCCATTATCACTTATATTTAATTTAAAGCGAATGATATAGGCTATCAGGGGTCTTATATTAATACGTATTCATTTGATTGTGAGGTTGACGATTTTTTGTGAGGATATAGTTGGAGGGCTAGAGAGTAACATAGTACTACTTTTTACCGCGGGAGATTATCTCATTCCCACGTCAAAACACGTTATAATACAACTCAAAAAAACATTTATGATTAGGATTACTTGAAACTTGGTATTAATGCTCTTCAATATAATTAAATAAATACATGTTTTATCAT